AATGGGCCAGTATGAATACCTTGTAGAATCAAAGACAGTCGAGGTCACCATGAACTAAATTATGACATAGTGCTGGAGAGTTGATACACCGCTGCGGTAGGGTATGGAAGGCATATTGCTGACCTTTTCAGCTGAAATCAAGCTGCTTTTGATGGACCTTATTGACAGGGAGATAAGAAGCAGTTGTCAAATCAGGTACTGCATAGCAGGTACCAGAAAATCTGTTAGTTTGTTCAAGCAAGGACACCACATCTGCTACAGCAGTTGCAATTCATGGAGTCTCCACCTGATTAAGTTTGTAAGTATCTGCTGTCATTCTCCAAGATCCACATATCTCCTGCACAGTCCAGTTAAGTGAGTTAAAAGTATATGTTGTGGGAATCACTACCCCTGCATCTTTCAAGTCCTTGATGGTGACACTAATCTCCATGATTCCTCCGGGGATGTGGTATTGCTTTAGGTCTACTCTTTTCCTGAGTAGAGGCAGTTCTAGAGGCTTCCACTTGGCTTTTCACCATAATAGCCCTCAGTCCACATGTCAGGGAACCAATGTGGGGATTCTGCCAATTGCAAAGTGTGTCTATTCAAATTATGCATTCTGGAACTGCGGAAGTAACCATAGAACGAGTTAATTGAACTACTGGACCCACAGCAAAGTAGGCCTGATTTAAAACTACAATGATCACCTGGCCACTGTAAGCTCCTGCTCTGACTGGTGGATCACACTTTGTTTGGGGTTTTTTGGAATCGGTTTAAAGATAAAGTCAGTGTCCAGTAGTTCCTGAGAGTTCTGCTTATTTTCTTTTCTCCAATGCAAAATTTGACTGATACAATGTCATAGGCCTCCTTTGGGGAAGGCTGAAGGAAAGATTAATATAAACATTTTTAGCAATGCCCCAGGGTCTTTCCTCAAGGGGATCCAATCTCCCCTTTATTCAAGGAATTTGAGTCTATAAAGTGGTGCCAGTGTGGGTTATAATTGTGAGGCCATGATTTTATGATTAAGTTAGACTTCTGTTTCCTTAAACTAGACCAGTTTTGCTAACACAGATCAAGTAAGACTTGAATACTCTTCCTCTCTATTTCACTTCTAGGAACACCATCATAAACTAGCCAACACTTTTTGTCTGCTTATATTGATTATTCTGATTCCTGTTTTGATTCTTCTGTCCTTTATGGGAAGCATGCCCACCTGACCTTTAAGGTTGTTGAGTGCTACAACTTGGCCACTGTTACTGGAGTTCAAATACCACTGATTGCATTGGGATTTTCCAGTTTAATGACACCAAAGATTTAGCCTACAGAAAAGAGTGATCACAGAGTTTTTCATGGATTCTGTGACTAGCCTGAAAATCTTATTTCTCAGGGTCATGATGAAAGTTATGTCATCTGGACCCTCCCAGGGAAGTTAAGTAGATCTTAATTGACAAATCCATTCTAACATTCCAATTTCCCCATGCCTTTAACTCTCCCTGTTCATTAAACCAAGGCAGGTCTGGCTTTTCTAATTTTCTTACTGTGGGCCACCTTTTGATTCATGCTTCAGCCACCATCAGAAAAACTGTTAGCTTTTCCTCAGTTCCCCAGCTACAACATTAAATGAAGAATGTCTGTTTAGTGAACCCAATCAGGAAATTTGGCTTGATTGAATACTATGTTTCTTCCATGATTATCCTATTTCTGTTTTTATAACTTAGAAAACTCATGTAGTTATTTTGGAGTGTAGTGTGTTCTTCATGGGTCACACTTGGTACTTCACCTTAATGGGTCTGCTGGGACTTATGTCTAATTATAGGTCTAGGAGCAAAGAGGGGGTGGGGTGGCTCTGCAGAGAATCAGCCCCTTCTTCCAGGGCAACTGCCTTGGGGAGGCCCATTGCAGTTTCCTAAAGCTGTGCAAAGATAATCCTTCAGACTAAGAGAGAGAATCCAATTCATTTGGCAAAGAAGGCATATCTTCACTGTTCCCTTATCCTCCCAGTTATCTAAGGAAGAATCTCCTTTTCATCCATGACTTCTTTCTCAATCTTCATCCCATGTCATGTTCTTCTGTTTATACTGTTAAATGTTTCTTAAACTCTTCTATCTCTGTGTTAGTTTGGGTTCCCTAGATGTAGATTCTGAGATCCTATAAATCAAGATGTCCTTGATTTATAAGGACAAGGGTTGAGGGAAGCTGACTACAGTACATGAAGAAGGTTGTGGTCCTAACTGGGGCTTGGTTTCAGTCTGGAGCCATGGGAACTCTAGGGTAAACATTGTAATAAGGACTGGTTCCACACTGAGTCAAAGGGACCAGTCTATCTTTCATTGGCTCCTGCTGGGTCCCAGGATGGTGGTCACAGCCTATAATTTTGTTCTGGAGCAAATGTACAGAGAAAATGGGGCATTGAAGTTTGAGCTGTTAATAGCCCAGACACACAACTGCTGGGGCATTGGAGGATTGAAGGGTAGTGGAGCTGGACACAGCAGTGCCCACCATGTTCTGCATCCTCACTGGCACCACCAGACTTCAGACCTCCATCTTTTCATATGCAAATCACTACAGAAACATTCTGCTGCCACTCTTGTTCCCTTCATTCCATTTCCCACACTGATAATCCATACAGTTATCATGTCAAACTCAAATCAAACTTCATCACCGCTGGTTCAAAATGCCTTCCAATGTTTGTTCCATGGTATTTAGCGGTAAGCTTTAACATGATTATGAGATCCTTCTTCATCTTCCTGTTCATGTCTCTCCAGGTTCATATCCTGCTGTTTATCGTTTATAAACTCATTGTCTAGCACACTGCCTGGAACATGGTGAGAGTTCAATAAATAATTGTTGAATGAATAGATGAATTAAGTACCATGAACACACAGAATTCACCAGGTTTCCTGCATGTGGATTTTCACCCCCTGGCCTTTGTTATGTAATCTCTCTCTTAGGAATGTCACTACACCAACTGATGTGTACACATTCAAACTGTGGACATGATTTCAAGTTTCGGGTTCCATTTTGTATACCCTTTCATCTTGGAACCTTCCCTGAACCCCTGGATCTTTCTTGTGTATTCCTCAAACATGCTTTCATAGCACCCTTTGCTGTCACTACCTTATCAATTATAACATGGTGTTTTCATTTTCTGCCCCCCTCTGGGTCTCTCTCAGGTGATCTGAAGCTCTCTGAAGGCAAGACCCAGGTTCCTCTCTATTTACCATAAAAGGCCCAGCAACCATCAATGTGTCTGATATATTCTTTGGGCTCAAGAAATTTCTGTTGATTAATGAGTGAGGTATGGAAGGATTAAATGGAATATTTTTATCCTGAAATTGTTTTGTGTGTAGATGGAACCATATATTTCTTAAAATACCTATTCATAATGAAATATTCCCAACATTAAACCAATTAAAGAGAAAAATAACATGAACAGCTCCCAATCATATGATGAAATCTTGCTGACAGCAGGAAGAGTAGCAAGGTAAGCTATATACTCCTTCACTGAGAATCTGAGTTTCAATTTTTTTCTCACCACACATTTTAAGCAGGAGTTAAAACAAATTGTGGTTTCTTTTTTTTTAATAATTTTTTATTGTTATGTTAATCACCATACATTACATCATTAGTTTTTGATGTAGTGTTCCATGATTCATTGTTTGTGAATAACACCCAGTGCTCCACGCAGAATGTGCCCTCTTTAATACCCATCACCAGGCTAACCCATCCACCCACCCCCCTCACCTCTAGAACCCTCAGTTTGTTTTTCAGAGTCCATCATCTCTAATGGTTCAACTCCCCCTCCGACTTACTCCCTTTCATTCTTGAAGAGATCTAGCTAGAAGGCTCAGAGTCTAAATCAGATAAATATAGAAAAGAAAATTCCAGACATCCTAGTATTTTTTTTTATTTTGCTGTACAGTTTACTGACTTTTTCACCTTCCTGTATACTTTTTTTTTTCAATATTTATCATGGACTAGACATTGTTCTACTTGTGAAAATTTTCTTTGTTAGCAGGCAAGAACTTTAAGGAGTGAAAATTTACATAAAAAATAGAAATTCTTGTATGATATTAAAAAATCTTTTATTTGAGCATCACATTTTCTAATGGCTTATCAGCATAAGATAGTTGACATGAACAATACAAAATGATTCTGAAGCTTACAGGAAATTTGGAACATGGTATTATATTCTTCACCTACCTGTTAAGGGTTAAGTGGGCCACTGTTTTTTTATTCCTAATGTAGTTACAAAACACAATATTACGAGGGACATGTTATCATCAACTATGATAAATAAAATTGAGCACAGTAGTTACTGAAATGTCCTTAGAATTTAGTTCTGGTCACAAATTAATAGAAATATAATTTTATATAACTATATATCATTATGATATATAATATATGTATATAATTATATACCATGTATACGCATGCTATATATAACATTATAATATGTACATATTATAATCTATATTATATATAATATGGGGTATCAGGCACAATCCCTATTTCAATAAATGGTAAATATTATAATCATCTTTCTATTGTCATTGTCTGGCACTGTATCACAGCATTTAAGAGCATGGCCTGAGAAATCAGGTAGATTCTGATCACTGACTCTTCAGTATACTTATTCTGATACTTCCCCCTTTCTGGTTCCTCACCTATAAAATGGGGATAATGGCAATACCTCCCTATTTGGATTGTTATAGAGACTGCTGCTCAATACCAATATATTTTTAATTATTAAATAGGATGAAAGCTTATATATCCATATACATGAATAAAGCTAGTAAAACTAAGCCCCAATTTTGTAGAATTGTCCAAATATGCAAAGATGATCCTGGATTAGGGTTATTTTTCCTTTTCTTGCACCCATTTCTGCTCTTTTCAATGTAAAATCTATGATTCACAGCAGTCATTTTTTTTCTAATTTCATAGGCAGTCTTTGCCAAGCTCATCCAAAATGTCCTTTTGACCTTTGCTTAAGTTGAATCAATGTGGAGGTAGAGGTACATTTACTCATTACCTAAAATAGTTTTCTTACTATATAATTTCCTAATGGCATTTTTCATCTGGTCATTTCTCAAGATATAGATTAAAAGATTTAACATGGGTGTTATTGTAGTATAGAACACAGCAACTGCTTTATCAATAGATAAAGTAGCTGTGGGTCTCAAGTACACAAATATGCAGGGCACAAAGAATAGGACAACCCCTGTGATGTGGGAGACACAGGTGGAGAGGGCTTTGCGCCTCGCCTCTGAGCTATGATTCTTTAGGGAGTGCAGAATGACCACATAAGAGACCATCAAGAGGAGGAAGTTTAACACACAGATGAAACCACTGTTGGCAGCAACAAAGAGCCCTAGAGTGTGGGCATCAGTGCAGGCAAGATTGAGCAAAGGGTTCAGATCACATATAAAATGATCTATGACGTTAGGGCCACAGAAGGGTAAAGGGATGATAAAGAGTATTTGTATGGTTGCATGTAGGAAGCCTCCCACCCACACCATTCCCATTAGCAGGCCACAAACCCACTGACTCATGATGGTTGTGTAGTGCAATGGCTTGCAGATGGCTACATAGCGGTCATAGGCCATCACAGTGAGCAGGATGACATCAGCACCTCCAAAGAAATGCTCCCCAAAGATTTGGGTTATACATGCATTGAATGGAATGGTCTTCTTTTCATGGAGTGATTCTATGATCAGTGTAGGGGTATTGACAGAAGAATAGCAAGCATCAATGAAGGAGAGATAGGCCAGGAAAAAGTACATTGGGGACCCTGATAATGGGCTGGCAGTGATAGTGACCACAGTGAGCACATTTTCTACGACAGAGATGATGTAGATGACCAAAAACACAGCAAATATGATTTTCTGCATCTTTGGATTCTCTGTGAGCCCAAGTGGAACAAACTCTGTCACGTTCCCGTTCTCCATCATTTCATATTAAGATTAATCACATTACCTGAAAAAGAAATACCTTTTGATTAATCTAACCTTCAATTTATTAAGCTTTTTTATCTAGTAAATAATAAATGCCTAGATTCTATTGAGTTTTGAATTCTCATGATGTTTTTTGAGATATAAAGTAAGTCCGAGTTCTTGAAGATCATCTGTGCACACTTCATTGACTGAGATGAATAAGAGGCTATCTTGATGTAATCAAGGCTATGAATATGGATGAACAGGAGTTGGAGGAAGGGGAGACTTGGCTATAACTCTGGTAATGATTTTTGTGTGTCTTGGATGAAGTCAGCTGAGCTCCAGTAAGGGGATGCAAATCAGAGACAGAAAGCCCAGTATCACACTGTTTAAAGAGTTGTCAAAAAGTGTAACAGGATATTTCTTATGAGAATGTAGTAAAAGGCTACAGAAGCTACTATAAAAAATCGATAATATATCTTGTCAAAATCCAAGAACTGGAGGGTATTAGGCTTAGTGAAATGAGTCAATCAGAGGAAGACAATTATCATATGGTTTCACTCATATGTGGAACATAAGAAATAGTGCATCGGATCGTTAGTGAAGGCCAGGAAAACTAAATGGGAAGAAATCATAGAGGGAGAAAAACCATGAAAGACTCTTAACTCTGGGTAAGAAGCTGAGGGTTGCTGAAGGGGAGGTGGGTTGGGGGATGGGGTAACTGGGTGATGGGCATGTAGGAGGGCACATAATGTGATGAGCACTGGGTGTTACATGCAACTAATGAATTGGTGAACACTATATCTGAAACTTATGATGTACTATATGTTAGATAATGAATTTAAATAAAAAATCCGATAACATTATAATAGCTGATAAATATATATATTTAATGATTAATTGCTATGTGCATGGCATGGTAGTAACCTGTGTGCTTGGTATTATTTCATCAATTTTTCAAATGAAGAAACAATTGCAGAATTGATTTAAATAATAATAATAAATATAATATTAACTAAAACTTACTAGACACTTGCCATGCTGCTTTTGCAGAAATGTAGTTGTTTCATCCTCACTACAAACATGTGAGATAATTACCACTATGATTTTATACTTCTTTTACGCATAGGAGATACAAACATAGAGAAGAATTAAGGATCCTGGCCAAGATCATGCAGATAATAAAGATTAGAGCCGTGATTAGATCGAATTATACTTGTTAACATTTTTCCTCCAAAGTTTAAATCCTTGCCCTACCTTGTCATGTTATAATAAACAATCTTGACGTAGTAATCTCCTTTTGACATGACCATAATAATTATAATGACTTTCATGCTATTTCGGAGGCAAGTATATATGAAGCAGTTTCATCAACACACACACACACGTGTGCGTGCGCGCGTGCACGCGCACACACACATTAGAATCCCTAAATACTAATAAAAAATGTGGTGCTGCTTACATTGAGGAGCACTCTTACTTTGGCCTCTTATGCCACCCCATTTTCTCCCTTCCCAATCCCCTTGCAAGCATAGGTCCCCAGATTTTTCTACACAATGCTGAAAATGACTACCAGAGTGGTTAAGGGTACTGTATTGGTTTGAACATTAGAAAGACTAGATTGGAATGTTGCCTTTTACACTTGCAACTTCCTTTATGCAGGGTATATTTCCTGGCAACTTAACATCCTTGTTTCTGTTGTCATCTATAAATACCACATGGGTATTTAAAGAGGTTTCCAAAAAGATTCAAGGACCTTGGCTTACAGTTGCTGCTTTCTCTCTGTGGAATTAATTATCTCCTTTGATGGAAGGCTTTGTCTTAGAAGAAAATATGCTGAACAGACATGTTTAAGAAACATCCAAATTTGAATAGGGAATTGCATTCCCTGTGCTTGGAACCCAAACATGCAAGAATCCCCTTTATCTTTGTGAACATTGGTTTCTAAGGAAGCTAAAAGTCCTGTGAATAGGAAAATGGCATAATTTCAGCGTGGGTACCTGTGATGTACTTAACCTGTTGACTGAGGTCCCAGAGAGATCTTCTGCCTCCTTAACAATATTAAAACTTTTCTGGAAACCTGCTATTGATTGCATCAGAGCTAGAGCAGTGAGGGCATAAAATCAGTGGAATTGCAGCCATAAAATCCTTGACTCCAAAAGTTGTTTTTCACATTCATCAGAGGGTTATGGAAGTAAACAGAAACTCTAATAGGCTCTCAATTAGTATACTCTGGGACTCATGGTCTGGTCAGTAAGGAATACTAGGCAACATTAAAATTGGGGAGATATCAAAACAGAAGCAAAAAGTTGTAATATTAACCACAGGAATTGTTCTACATTCTTGTCACTTGGTATTGCTAGTTATTTTCCTTTTAGTCATTTAAGGAGTTATATGGTGATATATTATTGTGGTTTTAATATGCTCTCCCAGATTACTAATGATGTAGAGCATTTTTTCATGATATTTTTGACTATATATTTATGTTATCTTTTAAATTCCAGTTAGTTAACATACAGCATAATATTATTTTCAAGTGTACAATATCGTGATTAAACACTTTTATACAATTTCTGTTGCTCATCATATGTGGTCTCTTTAATCCACATCACTTATAAAACCCATCTCCCCACCCACCTCCCTTTTGGTAACCATCAATTTGTTCTCTAGAGTTAAGAGTCTGTTTCTTGGTTTACTTCCCTCTCTCTCATTTTCCCCCATATACTGGTTTGCTTTATTTCTTAAGTTCCACATATGAATGAAATCATATATTTGTCTTTCTCTGACTGACTTATTTCTCTTAGGATAATACTCTATAGCTGCATCCATGTCATTGCATATGGCAAGATTTCATTCTTTTTGATGGCTGAGTAATATTCTATTCTATATCTATCCATCTATTTATATATACCACTGCCTTATCCATTCATCAGTCAATGGATACATAGGGTTTTCCATAATTTGGGTATTGTACATAATGCTGGTATAAACATCAGGGTGCATGCATCCCTTTGAATTAATATTCTTAAATTCTTTGAGGAGATACCTAATAGTGTAATTTCTGGATTGTTGAGTAGTATCCAAAATATATATAGAACTTATAAAACTTAGCACCTAAAAAACAAATAATCCAATTAAAGAAAGGGCAGAAGACTTGAATAGACATTTTTCCAAAGACGACATACAGATGGCTAACATACACATGAAAAGATGGTCAACATCACTGATTATCAGGGAAACATAAATCAAAATTACAATAAGATATCACCTCACACTTGCCAGAATGGCTAAAATCAACAATACAAGAAACAAGAGATGTTGGCGAGGATGTGGAGAAGGGGAATGTTTGTGCATTGTTAGGGATTATGCAAAGTGGTACAGCCACTCTAGAAAACAGTATGGAGGTTCTTCAAAAAGTTACAAATAGAACTACCATATGATCCAGCGTTTGTATATCTTTTTTTCTGATACTCCTTTTCAATCCTTTGTATAATATAAAAATAGTAATTCTTTTTTTTAAGATTTTATTTATTTACTTGAAAGAGAGTGAGAGAGAGAGAGCGAGCATGATGGGGGAAGGGTCAGAGGGAGAAGCAGACTCCTTACTGAGTGGGGAACCTGATGTGAGGCTTGATCCTGGGACTCTGATATCATGACCTGAGTCGAAGGCAGATGCTTAACCAACTGAACCACCCAGGCAACCCCTTGGGTTTCTTATTACTAAACTGTAATGTTCTTTATATATTCTAGATATAGGTCTTTTTCTCACATATATGTCTTATATATAAAAAATAAATATAAAAATACATTTTATATAAAATTTGTATATAAAATTGTTTATAATGTGAAATGTTTATACATTGTGTATGTGTGTCTATATATGTATTTTTCCTAGTCCATTGATTGCCTTTTCATTTTTCTTTCTTTTTTTTTAAAGATTTTATTTATTTATTTATTTATTTGAGACAGAGAGAATGAGAGAGAGAGAGAGAGCACATGAGAGGGGGGAGGGTCAGAGGGAGAAGCAGACTCTCTGCCGAGCAGGGAGCCCGATGCGGGACTCGATCCAGGGACTCCAGAATCATGACCTGAGCCGAAGGCAGTCGCTTAACCAACTGAGCCACCCAGGCGCCCGCCTTTTCATTTTTCAAAGATGATATTCAATGAGGAAAGACTTAAAATATTAAGACATTTTGATTTTCAGTTTTTCTCCTAGTTCATGTTTATTTTATGATTTTTAATAAATATCAATCTACCTCAAGGTTAAAGATACTCTTTCTCGTATTTTTATAGGTTTAGCTTTTCACATCTAGGTCTCTGACTCATTTTGAGTTAATTTTTTACAAAATTACAATAATCACAAATTTTTTACAAAAATTATTGCAAATTCAAAACTAATTGTAAAATTATAAAAATTGTAAAATTATTTTACAAAAAAAATAGTGTGAGGTAATAGTTGAGGTTCAGTTTTTTCTAATATGGATATCCAAATGACCTAGGAAAATTATTGGAAAAAAAACTCTATTCTTTCCCCCATTGAGTTATCTTGACATCCTTGAAAGAAATCACACATTTAGATCTATTTATGGACATTCTATTGTTTCAATGATTTATATGTTTGTCCTTATGGCAATACCACACAGAGCTTAATATAAATCTTTTATTTAGCTAGTATAAGTTACCTATCTGTTCTCTTCCCGCCCCCTATATTTTACATATAAGTGATGTCGTACAGTATTTGTCTTTCTCTTTCTGGCTTATTTTACTTAGCATAATGCTTTCCAGGCTTACCATGTCATTGAAAATGGCAGGATTTCCTTCTTTTTAAAGGCTGAATAATATTCATCTTCTTCATTCATTCATCTATGGAAGGACATTTATTTTTTCCCCATATCTTGGCTGTTGTAAATAATGCTAGCATAAACATGGGTATACAGATATCTCTTCAAGATACTGATTTATTTTTTTAATGTAGGCTCCACACCCAATGTGGAGCCTCAATCATGGCCCTGAGATAC